TAAACATATGCAGTACTTACTTTTCTTCTTTATTTGCTCATATTTTCTTACCTATATTGTTTCATCCTCTCCTTCTACTATTGAAAAATATCGTCCTATTTCCCCAGGTAAGATTGAATGATTGTTCTTTCTCATTAGTGTATCTTTCCTTGAGTGTCAGTCACATTGGTCTATACTACATGATCTCATTGCAAGTCACAGCCTATTTCTTGTTCTTTCTTATTTTTTATTAGTGTGGTGAGTTGATGGTGGGACAAATTAAACTAATGCTTGAAAGTAGGAAAGATATTCTTTATATTTTCTATATTTCTTCCTTCTCTGTTCAGCATCTAGTGAGCAAATCCATTATTGAAAACAAATCCTTGCTTACTATATGATCCCACTCATTACAATGCATGCTATAAGACTTCTGGCTCCTTATAGAGACTAATTTTATTTTTCAAGTAGGACAAATTAAAAGTAGTGGAAAAATTAGATCAGTGTTTTTTTTTTTTAAATGAGGGACATATAATTGTTTTAGCCTTAATTGAATTGACTATTTTTAGTGGGTAGTCCCCAAAGAAGACTGCTATCAATTTCTTATCTTCCAATGTCTATGCTGACCCACCCCTTAGGTGAACTCAGCGACCTCTCCCGCCAACCCCTTGAATTTGGGCTAGCCTTATGACTTGCTTTGACAAATAGAAACCAGTGGAGGTGACACTAAGTCAGTTTGAGGTCTAGCTTTTCATAGGCTTGGAAGCTTCCACGTTGGCTCTAGGAAAGCCAGTCACCATGATGGGAAGTTCTGGCTACACTATTGAATGAAGAGAAACCAGGGAAGCCATATGAAGGAAGAGCATTGAGCTGCCACACATGGTAGTGTTAGAAACTTCCCTGCCTGGGTTCAGAAACTGCAACCCCCATGGCTAAGGCTAAGTGAGTGACCTTGGGACCCTAAGTCACTAAGGAGACAAAGCTTATCTTCCTGGCAGGGACACTGTCTATGTCCCCTTTTACTCCCCCTCCTTGGCCTCAGGCAGATGACTGGTTAGCCAATGATGGGTAAGATTCCTCAAGGGAGGGATGACCTAAGACAGGCATGGTTCTGAAGGGGCCCTCAGGGAAGGACTTGGGGGGCTATAGAAAAGGGGTGATGGACCCTCGCCCCTTGGGGGGGTGGGGCCAGAGCTGTGGGCAGAGCCCCTCCACAGGTAAGGAAGACTTCTTGGATTTTACAGGTCAGCCAGCCTCTAGCTGAGTGCAACCATGTATGTGCATGACCTCATATGACACTACGTGGAGCAGAACTTACTGTCCAAACCCTACACTAATCACTGACTCAAAGAATTATGAAAAAGGGTAAGTCCATTCTTGTTTTGAGTAGTTAACTTCTTTTAAAGATTTTTAAAATTTATTTTTATAGAGAGGGAAAAGAAGGGAGAAATAGAAGAGAAACATCAATATTGCTTCTCCTATGCACTCTGATTGGGGACTGAATCTGCAACCTAGGCAGGTGTCCTGACTGGGAATTGAACCAGTGACCTTTTACTTTGTGAGACGATGCCCAACCAACTGTGCCACACAGGTCAGGGTGAGTGGTTAAGCTTTGAATTGGCTTGTTACACAACAATAGATAATTGAAATACTATCATTAAAAATTAAAAAAAGATTCAGCCCTGGCTGGTGTGGCTTAGTGGATTGAGTGCTGGCCTGCAAACCAAGGGGTCATTGGTTAGATTCCCAGTCAGAGCACATGCCTGGGTTGCAGGCCAGGTCCCCAGTATGGGGCATGTGAAAGGCAACCACACATTGATGTTTCTCTCCCTCTCTTTCTCCTTCTCTTCCCCTCTCTCTAAAAATAAGTAAAGTCTTTTAAAAGAGTCTTTCCTCAGCTGTAGTTTTCCCATAATTAAATAGCTAGTCCATTTTTGCTGTTGTTTATTTTGTAAGCTGTACCTTCATAGAGCAGGTTAAGTGGCTAAATTGATTATATAGCTATCTGCAGAGGTTAAGCAATGACATAACTATCTATTTTCTTGGATTTTTTTTTAGGACAATTGCAAGGTGAGCATATGGCAATGCTGGCATTTCTGACTTATCTCGAAGTGTCATAGTTGTTAGTCCCAACCAAGCAAATTTTCCACTGATGCAGCTACAGCCTGAAGAAGTGCCCAGTGCAATGTGTTTTGGATTTCTGTGTGAGCTGATCCAGCACTTGCCAGATGAGGTAAATGAACTTTGTCCTTAGAAGGATATGCTCTTCCAAACTAGCTGATCCTTTTTGACCATGCTATTTTGTAAATAAATGTTTCTGAAAAATAACTGACAATGACAATTTAATATACAAACTGACGTCTTCTTTACTTGCATGGAATCATAAAATCTCAGACATAAAAACTCAATGATTCATTCAGTATAATCTCTGCCCGGTCATCCATCTCCTTGCCAGAAAGTCTTTCCCTCTTAGGTCTATCCCAATGCCTAAGCACATAGGAAACACTCAACTAATTTTTACTGAATCACTGACTTGGTGAATATGGCTGCTTATAAATTTTAGTACATAAAATTCATCTAATTCTTAATACATTCTAAAATCACTGACATTTAAATAGATTTCAATAAATGTAAACTTTTATTAAAAATTCTTCAAAATAAGTTAGAAGAATTTAGAAGTTATTTTTTAAAATTGTAATTCTTTATGTATTGTGCTGACTACATTAACAAAAGTTTGAATGTACTTTAAGTTTTGTCATTTAGAGCTTACTTCAACATGAACTATGAGTATTGAATACTCTCAAAACTCAGGAATAATAAAACAACTCAATAAAAATGAGCAAAAGATTTGAACAGAAACTTTGTAAAAAAAAAGACCAACAGATAGCAAATAAGCACATCAAAATATGCTTGTCATTAGTCATTAACCCATAGTGAGACCCTTATGACAATATCATTTGTCATTTACCCACTCTTACACACTTAAGATATTGGCTAAAAATTCAATGAGTAACATAAGTGTTGGTAGGGATGTGAAGCAAGTGGAACTCATCTAATGCTGTGGGAATGGAAAGTAGTAAAACTATTTTGGAACAGTTTAGCAGTTTTTTAAAAAGTTAAATATTCCATATGATCCCACTACTCCACTCCTAGATACAGACCCAAAAGCAATAAAAGCATATATCCACATAAAGACTTCTACATAAGTGTTCATAGCAGTTTTATTTGTAAAAATCCCAAACCTGGAAACAACTTAATGTCTACCTATGTGTGAATGAATAATTTGTGGCACATCTACATAATGCAATAGTAGTCAGCAATAAAAAGAAATTAACTATCGATGCACTCAGCAACATGGATGAATCACAAAAGAATTTTGCTCAGAGGAAGAGGCCACAGGAAAAAATATATCTTATTTATTTATAGAAATGCAAACTTATCTATAGCAATATAAAGAATATCAATTGTCTTGAGGGTTTTTGTAGTGGTAAAAGGAGAACGAGATAACAAAAGGGACATGAGAAAACTTTTGGGGTGGTGGAGTAGATTATTATTATTTTGATCGTGATGGCTTCATAGGACTTTATATGTATTGAAATTTATCAAATGGGCCAATTTAATTGTGGCAGTTTATTATATATCAATTACTGTTCAGTGAAGTAGAAGGACTTAAGTAAAAGGTCTTATGAGTTGAGTAATATTTTAAAGTTCTCAACTTTCATTTGTTTAGGAGGCTTCTATAAAATGAAGTCTGGTTAGCTTAAGAAAATAGAGCAGGTCTCCTCTCAAATTAATTTTGGGCAAAATAATAGAAATGTATGGAGTTTGGGAGCATTTCCAAATGGTAGTAAACTACAGTTTAATCTGTGACAGGGAAGGAGGAAGAGAAAGATAGACCTCTGGACTTATGAGCTGACAAGTGGTAGGTGCAGAGATGAGGAAAAGAAACCAGAAATGCAGCGTGAATGGATACTTGGCAGAGGGAAGTGACAAGCCTGTGCAACTTGTCACTTCCCACAACTCTATATATTCGCTAAGCAATTTCCATTTTATTCCAAGTGGAATAAAATGTTAAAATTTATGTCTGGTCCTCACTCATGGAAATTTCTTTTTTATGAGTTATTCCTAACAGCTAGAAACTGTGTTTGGCGCACTCAATGAAGGCTGAGGTCCGCCCTCTACTTCCTACTTTGCTTTACGATGTGTTCTGTTCTTGGTCGCCCCCGGTGGCCTGGCAAGCGTCTGGGGACCACAGGCGCAGAGGCGAGGCTGCTGGGAAGGTGCAGGCAATAAAGGTCGCTGAAATGGAGGTGAGCAGCGGATACCTCCCTGTGCTTTCCCGGCTTCTGCATCCTGGCACCAGTCTGGTTGCCCCACAATCTGGTTTCCTACACACAGTGCTCACTTCGCGGCTTCTCTCCCTTCAGTTCCATTCAGGTGTTGCGGGTTGGGAGGGATTGGGGTGAGGCAGCTGCATTATTATGGGGTTGTGACCTCCCGGTTTCAGGGCAGAATTTACATGCATTTGGAAATGAGGGGCGCAGAAGAGTCCCGACTGTATAATTGTTACCATTAGACCCCCACATTCCAAAGAGCTGAGGGAAGAGGGAAACCAGATTGCTCCCTTAAATCCCAAATAGTTTTTTCCCTCCACCTTAGAGTCCAATCTGCTCTCGCCTTGTCCCATATATCGAACTGTCACTTTACTGCCGCTTACATAAGGTTGGAATTCGTCTTCCTGTCCCATCGTCCCTAACCCTCAAGTGGCAGAGGGTGGGCATTCCAGAAGCCGGGACCCAGCTCATCTGCCCAAGGGCATAGTGGGAGGGACCTCCGTGGGCTCCACGGGTGAGGTGAGGATCAGCGCTGGGCGGGGAGCGGTGGACTTATGATAGAGGAGTGAGGAACCTGCAGAGGCGCCCACACCTCCATGCAGCTCTCAACCTAGGCTAAGAAACTGCTTGACAGTCCCGTCCACACCTGATTGACAGAAGGGAGTCAAGGCCCAGGAGGCGGGTGTGGGTGTGTAGGGGCGGAGACAAACCCAAACCGCACGTTGAGAGCTTTCCGTCCTAGACTGCCTGGGTCTGGTGCCACCTATCCCGCCAGGTTCCCCAGTGACTTCGCTGAAGCTCTCAGAGCCAGAAAAGGATTACGGAGTGTCCGCTAAGGCTACAGACTTCAAGGAGGGGGCAGGGAAGCCAGCGGCCTGGGGCGCCACTTCCTTGGAAGCTTCAGCCACAACCCGGACTGTAACTCACGGCTCCCTCGGGGGGCTCAAGGCTGAGATCCGCCTCACCACTCCCTCCTCCTACCCACGAGCTGCCTCCGCCTCCTTCCTCTGCCTCCACCCTCAACCCCTAACCTGATCTGCCTTGAGCTCGGATCTTCATCTGCCCGAGCTCTGGATGTGGGCGCCGGACAAGTCCACGGCTCCTCCACCCAAGATGGACAGCCGCTACACAAGCACTGCTGGCATCGGGGACTTGAACCAGCTGAGTGCAGCCATCCCGGCCACGCGGGTGGAGGTGTCCGTGTCCTGCAGGTGAGGATGCAGCCATGCAGCCTTCCCCCTCCCTCCCCCTGCCCCCCCCAGTTGGTAACGCTTGGCCAGGACTCGGGATACTCCGAGGCTTTGAGCGGATGAGAAGTTGCGCGATGAGTGGCAAACACCCCAGCTGTGGAGTCTGGAGTCACCCCCGGGTCGCACGGCGCAGAGTGGATAGCTCAAACTAGAAGCCAGTGGTTTACGGGACTGAGGCTTTTTTTTTTTCTTCTGAAAAATGCTGTAAAAGTTGGCTGGGCTTGTGACTCAGCCGTGAGAACTCCTGCCGCCGCCTACTTTGCTAGCCCATTTTACGTCCCAAACTCGAGCTGACGTAGGGGACAGCATTGCCTGAGTGCTGGTGACCGCTGCGCACAGTGGCCCGGGACTCTCCCTACGAGGCGTAGGCAAACCTGCTCCTGCCACGGTTGGCTCCAACCTCTGCCGCTTCCTCCCCACCCACTTCCTGGAACCCTCGGGCTCGCTCCTCCACCCCCTCCACTCTTCCTGGCTGTCTGCCTCGTGCCTGATACTTAGAGATCACGGCTCCAGCGCATTTTGCAGACTGTGTGCTTTACCTAAAATCTGGGAAGCCACGATATTCTGCCAGGAGACACCTTTGGGTGCGGATTACAACCTACACTGTTGCCCAAGGACTGTAAATTTCAAACACCTTTGCCTTCTGTTCTTTGGGTCAGTTTCCCTATAAATAAAGCAGCCCCACTGCTATATAGCAGATTTTGAGGAAGTGGGCTAAAACTAAACTGATGATAGAAACAGGAGAGAGAGAATTTGGAGATTGTAATTCACTCCCTTGTTGGCACACTTTGATCTCTCTTGTTGGAAAACTCTCTTCTCTCTTGTCTACTTTTGCCCCAAGATTGCTTTAATGCCTCCAAATCCTTCCCTTTCTTTCGTTGCTAAAATTTGCCTTAAAAGAATCTAATTAACATGGGGAATCTTCCACATAAATAAGCCTTGGAGCTTAAAATGCTACCAATGCAGTATTACTTGATTTTGCATTTGCAGAACACAAAGTCGAAAGCCAAAGGAATGCTTTTTTTTTTTTTTTTGAGGGAGGAGTGAATTCAAGCACCAACAACCCCTACAGGTGTTAATTAGCTCTCCCTGGGGGAAAAAAATGCGTGTGTGTGTGTGTGTGTGTGTGTGTGTATGTGTGTGTGTGTCTCCCATGATTGCTTTATTCCTCTTACAAACTGTGGGAACTATAATGCTGACTTTGATACCTAAACATTAAATTCTTGTTTTACTGTATGGCCACTGTTTCGAGTGCTTCCACAGATTTCTTTCTGTCAGTTGATAAGGTGAAGCTGTATGGAAAATTCTATTTGACATTCATTTTTAGGCCTTTTCTTTTTTCTTTTTTAACTCTGAAGCTGTCTTTGGATGCTAGAGGAAGGTTATTAATATATACAGTTAATGCACAGTCAAAAGTCCTGCATTAATTGCATTTTTTAGAGTTCTGATCCTCCGCTGAACATCCTACAAAGTCTGAATGCCATATGGCCTGTACATGGAATGGGTATAAATATGTCGTAAATTTACTGAATTTCCCATAAGCTGTTAGGGTGATTTTACCCTTAGAGAAATCATACCTTAGCTGGTCTTTCTGCCAAAAGGGTCCACATTTAACCAAATGTGGTTGTTGTTATTGTTATTATTATCATTTCCCTGGATGCTTGTTTGCTCTGAGTGTGCTGGGAATGCTGAAGTCCACTGGCTTTAAAGCAGTTTCAGCTTGCTACCTCAGATCCTGGAAATGCCCTTGTTCCAGCCGTTTTCATACCACTAATTTGGTGTTTTGTTTTTAATTTTCAAGTTTTCATATAGAAAGAGTAAAGTTCCAAAAGAGACCCTAGTACTTATTGTGATTATATTGTTAAGAATTGAATCTTGTAATCATAGATGGTGGTGTTCTTTGGGCTTTGGCATAAGAGATCTGGTTCCAGATTCTGGTTTTGTGACTTATGCTGTTACTTGGAACAAGGTCTCACCTAATTTAAGCTTCCTCATCTCTAAAATGAGGATGATTATAGTATGTATCTTACACAGAGTATTGTCAGTGTTCAATAAGATGACGTCTGAAAGGTGCTTATACAATGTATGTCACAAAGAAAGTAGTAAAAATGCTGTTATTATTATGATACCAGCAATAGTATTTATTTAATAAATGGATTATATGGTTCAGTTATGGGATTCCATAAATAATCCTCTTTTGAACTTCAAAAAACTGGTTCAAGAAAGAAGGCAAGGATAGAGGCAGCCTTGAGATACCTGTACCCTCTTCCTCTCTGTTCTTTGATGTGTATAAAGAGCATATATCCTAAGATGCTAGTGGGGATTTCACTGAGCAGCAAGGCACAATTGTAGGCCCCTCAGCCTTACAATGGGCAAGTAGAGCAAAAAATTCCCATGCCTTTTTAATTAGAGCCCTCTGCTAATTTGCTGACACTTAACAAGCAACTCAGAAATAGAAACCCTTCTGATAACCTCTTTTCACTGTGCCCAGTCTAAGACTTTTAAAAAGCTTTATGTTTTCATCTTTATTTTGGGGGAGGTGAGAAAGTCAGCAATTGAGGCTTGAAGCTAAATATAATTCCTGGAAATCATTTACTCTGTTTATTGACCAGACCAAGTGTTTTAGTGCCTTTTATATGTCTAGCATTATGCCATGCTCCACAAGAAATGCAAGAGAAGTTCTCTGAAAATGTAAAATCTGGTTGGGAAATAAATATGACATAACTGAAAATATAGGACTAGGTCCAAAGAAGTAGTTCATGTACAGGGAGGGAACAGATCATTGTGGAACAGAGTGTTTGGAATATACTACAAAGAGGAAGTCAGGCTTGAGGGGAGACAAGACAAGATGGGCAGTTTGTGTTAGAGAAGGGACCGTGTACATAGAGGTTTTTTACTGGCTACAAAATTGGTGTGTTAGGATGACAAATATATGTTTCTTGCTGGATTTATGACATTCCTTGTACCCATTATTTATCTCTTGGATTCCTTTTTCTTTATTATGTTAATTAATAGCTTTTTAAGTTAATTAGGTTACCTAATTAAAATGTCTATAGTGGAAAAGATACCACCTAAGAAACAGAAAATAGTATCTATAATATTCCCATTTTATTCTGAAAACGGTTAATTAGAATGAGATAAAACCATGGAATGAGATACAGTATGTGGAAAATAACATACTGTAATCACCTGTTTTCCCTGGAACCTTAGTTACACTAACACATGCTTTTGATGACTTTTATCATTTTCTCTGATTGAGAAATTAGAATTATAAAAGCAGTGAGAGAATTCTGTTTTTGTACATCTCAGTAGGTCAGTATGTAAATCCTTTCACAGCAATAATTCTAAAATGTTGATAAAACTAATTGTAAACACTAATATCTAAGGAAGAGTACAAAGTGGGAATTTATTGAACACTTATTTTGTGCTAGACATTCTAAACAGTTCTTCCTGACCTGGCCTTACCTCTTTTGTCTGATTTCCAGGTACTCCTCACATGTGCTCTGCGACTGAATATAGTCTAACAAACATGTGCTTACCATGTCTAAAACTTGTCCCAGGTAAATGTGGTTGCAAAACACAAATGAGAGGCATAGTCCCAGAGCATGTGCTGTTATCCTACTGAATCAAATCTTCCTTGGCTGCTTGACCATGCCCATGCTGCCCTCTCCGCCCTGCATGTTCCTCCTTCCCTGCCCCTCCTTTTCTTCACTAGCCTGTGCTCTTTCAAGACTCAGGCCAAACATCATTCTCTCTTATGTCTTTCCCCCATGCTGGATTTTGCCGTTTTCCCAAGCAGCTGGGATGTAGCTAGATCATCAGGCTGGGGAGAAAAGATTTTCCTCTCCACTTCAAGGTACTCCTGGCTGGTTTACTTGGTTTTCAGAGTTTCTCCCAAGTTTGCAGTTTCTTAAAATTAACTAGCCTAAAATAATCAGTATCTCCCCAAAAGGCATATGTGGGGTGACAAACTTATCTTCGCTTCGGTAGTTGCATTATAATTCTTAGTCTCTGTATTCTCCTTGAGGACAAATTTTCTCTCTTTTGAGTCCATGCTGTTGGAGTGAGAACATCCAAACCTGTAGGGAATTTTTAGAAGAATTTCTTTGAGCCAAACAGGTTATGCCTGGAAGCAAGATCTCAACAGAATGAGAAAATGTCTCTCAGGAATGACAGTTTGAGGTTTCTTTTATGCATTTGGAATTAAGGAGGGGACATAAAGAAGATTATGTGAAGATGGGAGAAAGCAAGGTGGGGATTGGACAACAGGAGAGTCAAGATTCTGTGCTGTGTTGAGGGTGGTTATGCTTCCTTGGGGTCTGAAAGGGGCATTTCAGAGGTGTGTTAACCTAGGTGTCTGGAAACAACGGACAGGGCTCATTTAAGGAAATGATAAACCTGTTAGTAGAGAGTTTATATGTCTGCCTGGGCAGGACTACCCACCATTACCTACCCCGTTAGGAAATTTGTGGTTGTTCTACCCTGTGAGGTTACTTTCTATCAGTGGACTTGTCAAGTTTCATTACAGAATCCCTTTTTCATCTACAAAACTATATAATATGAGCTTGGCACGAATATGTAGACAATAAATGCAGGATATTGTAATTCTCTGAATAAATCATCTGGTGTGGGGAAGGCACTCTGCTTGTTCAAACACAGATTCTTAGGCCTCCACACTGCAGTTATTGAATCAAAATCTCTAGGTTCACCACATACTGGTTGTTAAACTTTTTAACAATACATTACATACATACATTACATTACATACATTAAACTTTTTAATCAATTACTTTGATGAGGACATGACTCTGTGACTCTAGTCACTTGATCTGGATTAGCAGTACCTGCCCTGCTGAAGTATTAAGATGATACTTGTTAATGGTATGCTGGAACTAGCTAAAATGGGATTGAGACAGGAATTTGCACGTCAGTTGTTAAATAAAGTGATTATTAAAATTTAA